CCCACTGGCCCTTGTGGGGCCTCCCCAACAGTCCTGTGCTGGTCAATGATTGTGTGTGTGTGTGTGTGTGTGTGTGTGTGTGTGTGTGTGTGTGACAGAGAGAGAGAGAGAGAGAGATGAGGGCAGTGGGCTGTACTCAATGTCATCTTCTGTCCGTAAGACTCCAACCCCAGGGACCCACTGGCCCTTCCCTTCCAGGGATACATCCCTTGCCTTCACCGCACTTTCCTAAAGGGGGTCTGAGGGAAACCAACCGCTTCTGCTTGGTAGAGAAAGGAAGCCGGGCCCAGACACCCCCCAGCAATCCCCGAGATCTGGCCGACCCCTCCTGGAGCCGCTGCGCCTTGACGCCCAGCGGCCGCCCTCGCCTCACACGAACCTGGAACTTGTCTGACTTGGTGTAGATGTCGGCCAAGTGCAGGTAGACCTTGAGAGGCTCGTTGTACTGCACGGCCCGCTCGAAGACCTTGGTCAGCGACTCCTGTGAGCCGTACATGTTCTCCAGGTTCAGCAGCGCCACCCACACGTTCAGCTTCTCCTGCTCCTCCCTGGGGGAAGATCACCAAGAGCGTGAGGCCCCGCTCCCAGCCAGGGATGTCGAGGGGGGCGAGTCCTCCTGTCTGGCCCCTTGTGTGTCCCCAGAGGCCCTGAACTCCATGTGCAGGCCGTGACAAACCCAATCCCCTGTCACCTCGAGGCTCCCTGGTTCCTGCCTCCATTTCTGGGAGGGAACCCCACCAAATCTCAAGCTGGCCCAGGGTGTGAGAGGCAGGAGCTTGGGTAGGATCATCTCCCTGCACCAAAAGGCCCAGGAGCCACTGTGCCCCTCCAGCAGACCAACAGGAAGGACTTTCTGACCGGTATGCTCACAGAGGCACGTGGAGACATATTTCTCCCTGGTCTGCTTCTGCCCCAATCTAGATGCCTTAGTCAGGCGTGGGGACTCCTGGAAACATTACCCCTGCCTATCCCCAAGCAGGGGACGGTGAAATATAAATGAGCACCAGCTCTGGTTCTCAGATGGCCACACCTCTGAGAGAGAGCCTGAGAAGCCAGGGGCCCTGGGGGCCAGCCGCCACACGAGCCACGAAGGGGAGGGGAGGTCCAGACCTGAAGGAGATGGTCTTGAGGGCCCGCTCGGCCACGGCCCGGGCCTTCTCGATCTCCGTGGCCTGCAGGTGGAAGGCCATGTACTGCAGCCACAGGATGGAGCTGCTGGGGGAGCTGAGCACGAGGCGGTCAAAGTCGTCTGCCGACTCCGGCTGCCGCCCGGGGTCCATCAAGGCCTCCTCGATGCGGGACAGCTCTTTCTCGGCCTTCTGCTTCGTCAGCGCCCTCTCCTTCTTGCTTTTCTTCTGGTGGGGAGGGCAGAGAGCAAGTGAGGAGTCGGCTCCCTGGATGCTGGGGGTCGGGCGGGGGGGGAGGGGGGTGTCAGTAGAGGCAGGGGATGCAGCCTCGGGGGAGCCTGCAGAGAGGACAGAGCCCAGGAAATCACAGCACCGTGGCTTCTGACGGCTTCTCGTCATCCTCGCTGTCCGAGCTGTCTCGAGGGGGCAGAGCCGGGGTCAAGGAGTCCAGTCCCACATCCCACATGAAGCCTGACGACAGCTGCAGCCGAGGCACATCTGCCAGCCTGGCCGGCTTCTCCTGGACACATGAGACAAGTGAGGGAGCGCTGAGCCCCGTGGCCCCTGCTCCCCGGCCTTGCCACCCACAGGAGCATGGGTTCCCACCCACCCACAGCCCCTAAATAGACAGACTCGGGCAACAAGCTTTAAATGTACACATTCAGAGCTGGACAAAGAGACGTGCTGTCTGTCTGCATGTGCCTAAAACACAGGGAGCCCGGCCCTGGTGTCAGTCCTTCCCAACCAATCCTTTCAGCACAAGTGTCCCGTCCAGTTGGTTCAGGTTCACAGAGACCTGCCCAGAGGGTTCCCAAAGCTGTGATCTTTGTGGGAGCAGACTGCTAGACCCTCCTCCCACGGAGCAGCTGGGGGTCTCAAAGCACTGCCCTTTCAGGCAGCAGCTGAGCACTTAACCCACGACACCACTAGGCTCCTTCACTCAAGAGTTACTGCCCTACTTTCCAGAGTCAGAACGACGCAGCCTCCTTCCTCCTCATCGGCCCTACCCCACTAATTTAACTGCACTCAGAAAACATCGTCTAGAATCGACGAGTTAGGCCGCCCACTCCAGGAGCTTCCGGAGGACACCACCCCATCCACTGCCACCTTCTCAGCACGCAGCCTCACCTGGCGTGGCAGGGCCATCTCTTCCACCTCGTCTTCCCCTTCCCGGTAATACACCTCCACCCCGCTGTCGTCCTCTTCGGACGGAGCAGCTCTCTTTGGCTTCTTGTTGACGCTCTCCTGAGGGACAGGTGGGAGCCTTGCTCAGCCGCCCCCAGCAGCCTGAGGCCTGTGCCCACCCTTCCTTCTTCCCTCCCTTGGCTCCCCCGGCCCCACCTCCCTCCAAGAGGTCAAAGAGGCCACCCTCGGAGGGGCTTACCTGCTGGCTCTCAGCCTCCCCACGCCCCCGCTTGCCCGGCTTCTTCACTTGCGGCTGCCGCTTCCTCTGCACCTGTCCTTTCTGCTGTATCTCTTCCCTCCGCCGGGTCTTCTTCTCGGTCGTTTTCCGATCGGCCCCCTCTGTCTCTGTCCCCTTCTCCTGCTCCAGAAGCGGCAGCTCTACGGAGGCAGGAAGCACGTCTGGCTTCCCAGTGTCTTTGGGGAGGAAGGACAGCGCCACCAGGTTCTTCTTGTGGTTCAGGCTGTGACAGGGGCGGAGGGGGGACAGGGAGTGAGACACCGGAACCAGTACACAGGGGGTGGGAGGCCCAGACTGCGTACTAGGGCGGGCTCTCCCTTGGGGGATAAACAGCAGTGACAGTCTCACAGCACCCAGAGTGCTGATGAAACACTAGCGAGTCCTACCCTTTCAAAAAGTTCTCTTTGAATTTGTATATTGACACTGAAAAGTCCCTTTTATGTTACGGGGATCCCCCCTGAACTGAACAGAAGGGCCAAGGGCACATCAACCAAGCAGCCCAGGCTTTCCCTCGCCTCCATCAGCCCACCATCTTGGGCTCCGCCCCTCATGCTTTGGGAATTCTCACAACCCAAAGGAAGCATGGGAATGATCTGCCCACGTGTAGTAGAGGACAGCGGGCAGCTGAAATGCCCCGGCCTCCAGCTCCAACACAGGCCTCTCTGGAAGAAAGGCTGCACACCTGCTGTGGGAGAGGCTTCAGCTTCAGTAAGGAGTTCTCATCCATCTAAACATGGCACTCACCACTACCCAAGCCATTCTACTCCAAGTTTACCTCCCAAAGCTCTGGCCAGGGCTCCCGGAAGAGGGTGTGAGTCATGGAGGGAGGGAGTAAGGGCGCGAGCACACTTACCTGAGGACCTTGGCTGTGAGCAGTCTCCCTTGTGGCAGGTGCCTGCTGTACAGGGCTTTCTTAGACGGGCAGTACTGGGAGACATGGGAGTACTGGGCTAAACCCACTACCGAGGGGCCAAGACTGAAAGGAAACAGACGAGGGCCCAGTTGTCACCAATGCAGAAGCAGGATCCCGCCAGGGCCGGGGACTCCACCTCACGGGGCCCAGCTATGACTAGGCATTATGACAGGCCTAAGTTTCTGGCACTCCACAAGGGCTGAAGAGGCCCGTGACACCAGGAAACTGGAAAATAGCAAAGATGTGACTGCAGGGTTTTATTTTAGACGCCCCACACCATAGCACCAGCTAGACGCCTAGGGGGAAACTGAGGAGGAACGGCAACTGGGCGGGCAGGTGAGTCTGGCAGTTGCCAACATGGCACCTGAGCACCCAGGACACTGAATGTGGTGACCGAACACTCAATCACATGGCGTGCCCTTTAGTCAAAGAGCCCAGGAAGAAACACTTTTAAATTTGTTTTCAAAAGCTTCGGACTTAAAAAACAACTGGTAGAGACATACAAATCCTCCCTTGTTCGAACACTCCTCAGGTGGAGAACCTGGCGGGCCGACCAGGCCTGGCACTCAGCCTCCTCTCTCACCTCAAGAGCACACCCTTTGGCTCCACGGCCTTCACGTAGCCCCGCAAGAGCTGCCCCTCCTTGACGTCCTGGATGGAGTTAATCTCTGGGTCCTCTATTTTGCTTTTGGTCTCCGGGTTTGTTCTGAAACAAGTAAAAGCAGCTGAAGCATATACTCCTAGCCCCCCTTTCCCACTTCCCTGCCAACACCTCCCTGCCATGACCATGCTTTGTATGTAAGAACGTGACCCTGGACCTGTCAGTAGGATGTAACCTTTCAGCACCCAGCCCTACTAACTCCAGAAGCCCTGCTGGCCAGGGGCACCCGTGTACAAGTCGTCTGTGGAGAAGTGGGGAGAGGCTGACCAAACCAAACAGGAGAAACCAAAGCCTGGGCCTTACAAACACCTGCTGCTAACAGTGGAGCAAGTTGGCCACTTGCCTATCCCCTCCTTGCCCCACTCCCTCAAGCCATGGAAACCTAACCCTCTCCTCTCACCAGGGCCACCGCCTTGCTCCCTAGAACGCCCACTTTTCAACGTGTGAACCCCGTCCTGGGGAAGTCATAGCCTGAGCAAGTGGGTCCTTCTGGGACCCTAAATGTCCCAGCACCTCTGGATGTGCGCGGGACAGGACATGGCGTGGCGGGCAGAGGGTAAAGACTAGAAGCCAACGCTCAGCATCAGGCGCAGGCAACTCATCCCTCAGTCCTCTGGCGAGGTCCTCTCCTTTCTTGACCCTACTACACAGAGCCCCACCTGGATGACCTCAACGACAAAGTCAACACGTGGTCTGCACTGGACAGGACATAGCACCTGCAATGAGAACAAAAGAGAAGGAAATGCTGAAGTCTGCGGGTCTCAGGGGGCAGCACAGGGCATTACCTTCCTCTCCACAAGAGTGGCCACAGACGGGAGCTGGTTCTGGGCATGAGACCGGGATCCTGGTTGTCGCTCTGTTGAGAACCTCCTAGGGACTCTGGACAAGTCATTTCTTCTCTACACCTCAGTTTAACAGTCTATCAAGTAAAACCATGACTCCCTACTCTTCATACCCAAGAAAGGTAGTCTAGGGACACAAACCGCCCCTGGAAGATTCAGAGCCAGGGAGCAAGCACTTATGAGATGAGACCAGCCCGCCAGCATGTTCAAGTGCTTCTGATCACAGGGGAGTGACAGACTGACCCATGGGGAGCCACGGATGAGCAGGGACAAATGACACCACACAGGAGGTTCAGAGGATGGCCCTTAGGGAGGCCGGAGCACAGGGCAGTTTGGGGGAAGGACAGCAGTTGACGATTGTGTTGGCTTTCCAAAAGGACTTCATCTCAAATGGCCTTAAGTAGTCCAAAGCAGCTATTGAAAAGCAGAAAATCAAAAAAAAAAAAAAGGAAAAGCAGAATATCTTAGCCGTGCAAAGGATCACAACAATGATAGAGCCCAATGCTTTCCCAACACAGACCTCTGACTTGTGCAAGCCCGCAGTAGAGCCCTGTCCGCTCAAGGCACCTCAAGGGATCTTCTACTTTTAGGTGTGTGATGGACTATTCAGACTTGAGAGATGAGGGAACTGCAATCTGTGCTACTCGCAGGTTGAGTGGGAACAAAATGCCTCCAAGAGAAGCAATTTTGCTGAGAAGCACAATCTCCTGTTGTTCAGGCTCAAGAACAAACAGGAAAACAAGCAGGAGGAACCCTGGACTGCACTAGGACTCCTCGTTTTTCTTCTCCCAGGCCCTGCAGACGTCTGCGCGCTGTTTGAGAATGGAGGAAGTGTCTGGACGGCAGAACCATCCGAGATGCCTCTTGAAGGCACCCACTCCATCGGGTTCTTAAAAAGTCTTCATTGTGGCAAACTGGCCCGTCTCGTCTATGCTAGCTTATCCATACTATAAACTGGTCTTAAAACTTTAATCAAGGTGGGTTCATTTTTGTGCGACTGAAATAAGCGAAGCCCCCTAATTCCACGTTTCACTGTCCTTTTAGAGAGAGCACCGACAGAGGGTGGCACATTTAAAAGATGATTGCTCCAATATAAAAATGAGTAAGTGACTCACACGAGCAAAGCACAGAACAAATGGAAGCAGCTAACAAACATGAAAGATGACCAGTAAGAGAAGGGCACATTAAAACAATAAATCAACTTTTGCCTACCCAATGACCAAGATTGAAAATCAATAACACCCAGTGTCATGTCCACTGTTAACGGGAATATAAATTGGCACCATCTTCTTGCAGGGCAATTTTAGAAAAGCGATCAAAAATTGGAATGTACGTGTCACTTTGCCCATAAATTTCTCTTCTAAGAATTACTTCACAGCTATACTTGCACTGGCCTATCCGTAGAAAGAGGCTCACTTCGGCATCATTATCCATCAACAAAGCACTGAGTGACAGAAACACATAAACGGACACTACACAACTGTTCATTTAAAACTAAGGAGGTTTTGTCTGTTTGTCTTTAAAGAAAGATTCTGATACGTATCTAGCACGGGAGAAAGCCTAAGATAAGGGGAAAAAGCAGGTTGCAGTACAAAGCATTTATATCCCTAGGTACGTGCCACAGGGTCAGCAGTTCAAACCCATCAGCTGCTCCACGGGTCAAAGATGAGACTTTGTGCTCCTGCAAAGACTGACCACCTCAGAAACCAACAGGAGCAGGTCTACCTGGTCTGTAGGGTCCCTCTGAGTTGGAAAAGACTCGGAGAGCTAGCAGTGGGTTGTGAGCATGCTAACGTCTGGAAAGATAAAGACTAAGCAACAACAGAGAACAATGGGGAAGAAAAAAACCCAAAACATTTTCATTTTCAAAAAATCCCAAGGCACATCCTGCTTCTGTAATTAGACGATCCCACCGGTTCTACAGATGGCTGAGTAGAGGAAGAACACCTGATTTACCTGACGATGTTTTGGGGGACGAAGTTCTCCAGGGGCATCTCAGAGTAGTTGTCGCTCAGGTGAAAGAGACTGGCTCTCCCAAACTTCCCAAAGGGGAAGGAGACCATCACCCCCTCGTTGGGAGTCACCTTCACCACTCGACCCATGGCCACTTCCCCTTTCTCAAGCTTGTGAGGACCTGGTGGGGAGGGGGGAGAACTTGATTCGAGGAACAGCAAGCGCGCCAAGAACGAAGCTGGAATGGCCAGGCAGATTACCAGACCGAGGGCCAAGCCAATCAGGGCTATGGAGGGGAAAACCGTTGTTCAGGGGCTTGAGAACAAGGATGCACAGGGGACTGAGAGGAGGGAAGTAACACCTGCCACGGGACAATATCCCAAGAGAACTATCCTAAGGAGGCACCAAACTAGGATTTCTGGAGACTCTGATCGCAAAGGCATTCGCCAACCTGGGTAATGACTGGAGACCCCCTTCCCTTCCCTGACCAACTTCCCTGCTTCATCACCAACCTATGAGTGACAGACACAAGAAGGCCTTGGCGGAATCTGGACCAACCACGGTGGCCCTCAGGGCCTGACCAAGCCGGAACTTCCTATCGGGATGCTTCAGGACCTGGAAGGACAAGAGGGTTCCTCTGAGCTCTGAAGAAAGGTCAGAGTGTGTAAGTACCTCCGGAGCCAAGACGCAGATAGAATAAAGAAAGGCACAGTTCTGTGTACCCTCTGTGAGCACACACAAGTGTATGTGACCCTGGGGCTCCTCTCCAGGCACCACCACAAGGTCAAGCACACTCACCTTGAAGCTGAGAGAGGTGAGCAACAGAGGAATTCTCCCTCGGATGTCAGGAGCAATCTCCACTTCAAGCCATTTCTTAACCACGTTGTACTGGAAAAAAACGGAATCAGGAACATAAAGACATCTCTTTTGTTTCCTCTGTGAAAACAACACTCCTGAAATTTACTTGTACAGCCCCCTCTGCATTGCTCAGCCTCTGCTTCTCACAAGCTAGGTTCAGAGCTCACTCCCGGCTTTCCAAGCCTAGCAGGAAGGACAGACGGATGGACAGACACACACATATACACATACACACAAACCCCTTGGTTCAGAGCTCACTCCGGGCTTTCCCAGCCTAGCAGGACACACACACACAAACACACACACACACGCACATACACACACGCAAAGCCCACACCTCCACACGCCTCAGCTGATTAGGAAGCAAAGAGGACTAGTCCCCCTGACCTCTGTACTCCAGGACTGAAGGACAACCTCTGGCTTTAAAACCAGCTTTGACTTTGATCTTTCACTGCCGACAGTGTCCTGCCCTGAGCCACCCCCATCTTCAAGCCCATTCAACAAAACCCTCCCGGATAGCCATTGTGCATGTGGACACCCAGTGGTGAAGCCGGCCCTGCTTTCAGGGAGACATCCGTCTCCAAGGAGTAAGTAACGAGCGTGCCAAAAACCAGAGGAGCCGGCAACCCGCGGCAGCACAATCCAAGTGAGAGCTAGGATGGGGAGCTTCCTCTCTGTGTGGCTCCCGGAAAGGGCAGCAGGCTGCTTCAGACGTGGCAGCCTTTGTGAACAGAGGAGACACAAAGGTACTCTGGGTGACTGGGACTCAGGTGCACGAGATGAGGTCAGACTACAAAGTGCCGTTAAGGCAATCTGGAGTTGACGGCTACAGACAACGGGCAACTCGAGGGCCGCAGCATCATGGGCAAGCTCTGACAGAAGCCTGACCAAAAAGTCCGCCCTGGCGGGGACCATCCACACTAATGAATTCCCTTTCTGAGCTCCTGTTCCCTGGGGGTCAGAGCAGACACTCTCTGGCACCCACTTACTTACTATTCGTCTGGCAGCTGACCTTATGAAAGGGGGGTCATGGTCGAGTGCCCTGGGGCTATTTTCAGCTCATAGCCACCCTGAGGGACCGAGCAGAAACTGCCCCCTGGGGTGTTCTTAGCTATAGCCTTTACGGAACCAGGTTACCAGGTGTTTTTCCCATGGAGCCAGTGGATGTGTCTGATCTAGGAACCTTTCAGTGAGCACTTACCCACTGGCACTGCCAGGGATCCTTCGGATGAAAGCCAAGAGTCTACCATCCAGTATTGCAGCTAAGTCTTTGACCTTGGCACGTTTTCCTTGCCTTTTATAAACTTAAAGCAACTGGGCATTCACTTTACATCTACAAACATACTGAATCCCAAGTTGCCTGCTGACTGTTTCTGAGTTGCCCAGTCAGACCAGAAATTCCCCGAGGCAGGCATCACCTCGCAGACCCAGCGTGGCAGCTAACAGATGTGCCCGCCCAGTGCTAAAGGCCTTTGTCTCCAGTTCCCCGACAGTGAGGAGTCACGGCACTGCAGGGTGTGAGCCACTTACCCTCTTCAGGAAGCACGTCACGGTCTGTCCCACCTGGTACTGTTTGATCTTCTCCGAGGGACTAACAGAGTGAGTGTTGAGTGCAGTGTGGCCACCCTCCAGCTCACTGTTGACGAAAGGCAACGGGAAGGGGAAGGTGTCTAAGTTGCGCCCACCTCCCTCCCAGGGGTCGTTTTGTCAGAGGGGCTAACGCAGTTTGATCTGTGGATCCACCTACTTCTGCTTTCTCCTTAAGAAAATCTGGCCCTGCAGAGTCAGCCCTGGGGTCCACCCTCAGAAACAACCCCCTTCTCGTCTGCCCTTACAGGTCACAGCTTAGCCTTGGAAGTTATTTGCCTTTGGAGGCCCTTCGGTAGCAGCCCTCAACACAAAAGATTAGTTAATAACAGGCAGGATGGAAAAATGAGCCCAGGCAAATTGGACCCGCTACCTAGAATCACTGATTCTTCCCCACCTAGCATCCCTCCTGGCCCACTCCTCTCTGCAGAACTCTCCACACCACCACCTACGACTCCAGCCCAGCCGCCAGGGACCAAGCTGCAGCCCACACCAGATCAACAGCTCTTCTGAGCAATGTGTGGTCTACTTAGGGAGTTACTGAGGGCTAGGAAACCGAGCTGCGAGCAGAACTGTTTCTCTTGAGCAGAGGCTGACAGACAGAGCTGCAGTCAGTCCTTGTGGTGGCAAATTCGGCATAAAGCATTTACTTTAATATCACATAATTTTTCTCACCAGTCATACAGAGCCCTGGTGGCATGGTGGTTAAGTACTGGGCTGCGACGTACAGGGCCGGCAATTTGAAATCACCAGCCGCTCTGCGGGTGAAAGCTGGGGCTTCGTACCCCCTTCAAGTCAGTCTCCGAAACTCACAGGGCCAGTTTGACCCTGTCCTACAGGGTCTCTGAGAGTCAGAACGGACTCGAGGGACAATTACCCCGTTAAAGAAGTAAGACACACTGCGCATGGAGCGCCAAAGCAAGTCGCCACGCTCTGAGTCAAGATGAGGGCAGAGGCTTCCCGATTCCAAGGCCAGTCTCCTCCCCTGAGGCCAAACTGCTAGAGCTGTGCTCACCTGGTTCGAACACTCAGCTCTGGGATGGTCCGGATAAATCGGGGGTGGCTTATCGGGAGAAACCTGGAGAAACAGAGAAGATCCACTAGGCCACCCCAGCCAAGCGTGCTGCAGGAAACTGGTCTCCGTCACACCGCCACCCACGGCCGGGAGGCGTCTGAGGGCTTCCAGTGTTGGGCCGAGCAGCAACCATGAGGAAGCAGCTGACTCAAGGGATCTTTTAGGAATGTCATCTTAGACCCTGGAAAGACTGTATTCCAGTGTTTTTATTCTAAAGTGGAAATGGGTCTAGTACAAGAAGGAAGAGTGTTCTGAGGCTGGCTGAGGCGATGATTATCACGCTGCTTGGATTACAATACCTGCTGGCGGAGCCCAAGCATTAAGCACATGCCAGCAAGAGACGGGCATGGGACCCAGTACCTGTTTTCCTTCCCTCTCTGCATTCACCCAGCAAGGGCGGCAGTACCACTACGCTCACTTGACAGGTCAGGAAAATAAAACTCAGCAGAGTGAAGTAGCTACTGGCACATGTCCACGAATGTTCAAGGTCAAATGTGAACTCGAAGCTCAGGTCAGACTCTAAACCTCCACCTTCCGTCCACCTTGTTAAAGACTGACTTATACACAACTTGCAGAATCTGCCTGTGTTCCCACTCCGACCACAATTACAACCATCCCCCTCAAAGCCCGAGGCTGACCAACTCCCTCAGCCCGCCACCCCAAGGCCTCCATACTTGAATGTCTTCACGTCGCGCCCGCCAATCACCCGCGCAGTGACGGTCTTGCCAACTTTCAGGTTGCTGGTGGGCGTGGTGCCCGCAGGCACGTCATCAAGAATGTGGGAGGCGTGGATACAGCCAATGACGCCATCGCCCAGCGTCACAACCACGTGGGTGGCCTTAATGGACTTGACGGTTCCGGTGACCACATCCCCGATGGACAGGGTGTGCTTCTTCACCACCCCCACAGCCAAAGCTGGATCTGCCTCCTCGTCCTCATCCGCCGTTTCTGACTCCTTGTGGGCTTGTCTCATGGTCCTCTTAGCAGCTGGCCCCTCAACAGCCAGAAGAAGACCTGTCACTCCCGGCTGTGTAGTCTTGAGGGTTAAGGAGACACCCTGTCCCACCTGCAACTTCTCGGAGTCAAAGCGGAAGGTGTCGTTGAGGTGAGAGGTCAGGGAGAAGACGGCCAGCTGCCCAGTCTCTGCCAAGGAGGCGATGGCAAAGGACTCCTCCATGTGCTGCACAGTGGCCTGGTGCTCGCTGCCTTTCTTCAGCTGGAAAAGAGAGAGGACTCGCCATTCCCAGGCTCTGTACAGATCAGGGTCAATCGCTGGGGCCCCGATGGGCAGGGTGTGGG